AACATACATATAGAGGGCTTCGTACGAGTTAGGTTTACGTTAAAAGTAATCGAAACGAGAACGCGTTCGGCGCTTTGATTGGTTGGTTCATTGGCACCGGCCAATCACAGCGTCGAACGAAAACTCGTTACGAATACTTTAAACGTAAAAGAAACTCGTACTAAGGCCTCAGGTCAAACTGAAAGCCACCTTTTTTAAATCGGTTAATAAATAACATACATAATTGTTTACAAGTTACCTCATTAGCGCTGTAATTGAGCCTATTGGTGCAAGGGTCATCGCTCCTGCTGATCATCTTGTACTCATCCACCGTCACCTTCACCCTCAGGGTCTCTCCCACGTTCAAGTACAAGTACTCCACCATCCCACCGTTGTACACCTTTACTTCTACATTGAAGATGCATTAAATAGGACTTCTCTGATTTTATATTTCTTAATTTTTTATCCGAAAATGGTAACAAAATTCATAATCAAATTCAAAAATCAAAGTGATCTTATTTATTGGAGGCCCAACTCCCTAAGCCCAAAGGATAGGAAAATTGTAACACCCCTGTTATTGCGGATGTTTATAGGCGGTGATAGTGTATTGCTATCAGGTGATCTATCAGCTCGTTTGCTGTGCTAACAAATCCACGATAGAAACACGAACAAACAAAATTGAACCGAAAGTCTTTTGCTAAAAGTGCACATACCGGTAAAAGGCTCCCTGGTATAGTGTATGTAGACGTGGTACCCTGGAGGTATGATACTGACAGTAGTCTCCATATCGCGGGCAGTGTGTCGCATGGTTATGGAGTACCCTATCGCCTGGGACATATGCTTTATATCGCTTTTTGGAGACAAAGTATAACAACGACCCAATGCGAAACCCATTACGGGTGTTAAATCCACATCTGTTGAAAGTGTTTCGTATTAGAAATGTTTAAATGTTTTCAATAGGACTTCTAGTCTGTCTTAACTTATACAAACTTTATTCTCTCACTTTATGATGTGTCTTAGGTAAAGAGAATACTGAATAATAATGTATTGCCAATAAAGTGAACTCAAAATCCAATGTGCAAAAAGAGAACATAATTATATAAAGAACACTCGTCATGGACATTGACGAGTTAAATTTGAAAATAGATTACGAAATATCCACAACATTTGTTCATACAAAAGTAGTCTCTAAACGTCGGAAATAAGATCTATAATGATGGAAGTGGAGAGCGGTCACCGGTAACCGCTTGTATCTTGACCAAAAGAACAAATAAAATACTTACTATGCCTGAATCTGTCGAGAGCGTACTGCACGAATATTTCGTTCGCATTAAACGTGATATTGTCCCACACTTCGTCCAAGTCATTGTTCTCAAAATCAAACTTTTGCCATTCTTCTTGAAACGATGGGTGACCGTACAGTTGGTAATCCTGAGAAAGAATGTCGACCTTAATCTTAAAATCTTTGAATTAAAATCTATTTAAAGTATATTCTTTAAACAGGAACGAATAGAGTTTCATTCTCGTTCTTTTCCATTCAAATCTACATTTTGGAATGAGCACCAACTTCACTGACGAACAGACTGACAAACTATTATTTATTTTATAGGTATTTGTTTACATTTCAAAAGTACCAAATTATCGATTATTATTTATATAGAATTTTTATCAAAAACTTAGATCGACAAAGAGATTTTGATCACAAATCAATATGCTAATATTAAAGTATCCTTTAAAAATCGTCTAGCCCTATTCTGTGATGCTAGAAATTCTATTTAGACCTAACTTTCTAAATTAAAATACAGTCTCTCAACAAATAAATAGAAGATACTCTTACTGACAATCATTTTATCATAATTGTATGGCGGGTCCTTGCAGAGTGTGATGCTGGGGTAGTCCAGGGTCTTGTTGAAATCGAAGTGAGTGTAGGTGGTGATAGGAATGTCGATCATCTTCTGTATACTTGCAATTATCTTAAAATTTATTGAAATTATACTTAGTGGTTTTATCATTTACACTTGAGAGCAAAGGTGCAAAGCAGAGGTGCACATTACGTCACTTAATGTAACACCTACTTTTCACTATTTATGTTATGAGTCCCAAGTAATAAAGGAATGAGACTATTGTCATATCTCAGGCACATTTCTAGACTGCGTGCTACTACTGAGATTTTTAAAAACCAAGTAATACTTTGCCCGTCCCGGGAATCGAACCCGAGGCCCCTTGCCCGGCAGTCGCACTTGCGACCACTCGGCCAACGAGACAGTCTCAGTAATACTTCGATCAGAACATATTTATCAAGAAGTGAAAAATAAATAGCACTAGCAGCTCCGATCCTTTGCTCGCAAGTATGCGTTGCAAGTTTAATTCAATAATTTTCTCAATATTCTTGCTACCTCCATACCTGTTGTAGAACAACTCCTACGCATCCTATAACCACAAGAGTTTTTATCAAGTTTGGCCCTCTGATGCAATCTGAACACTTCTCTCTTATTTTCCATCGCGGATCTTCCACCTGAGTAAATTCTTTTTTTTAGTTTTTTATATTACATATATTGATTGTACCTATAGTGTTTTATTGATATACAAAGTATATTATTGAAAACTATACATACTAAAAACCTTTATAATACAGTTGTAAGTGAAAACTTTGAGCGATCAATTTGTGTACCCACTCTATATGTGCCTATAGTAATTGAAACAAGTGAATCTGATTTGCTTTTTTTTATAGCATTCGCTGTTATATGAGCAGACGTAAGCTATCGGCGCCGCCCATGGACCCTCGAAACACCAAAGCGTTACAAGTGCGTTACCGGCATTTTGGGAATGGGGAATTTGTGGGAAATTCGGGCATTCGGGAGACGGGGACTAGGGAGGGGGTAATTGGGCCTCCGGAAACTTCAACACCCGACGAAACACAACGCAAGCGTTGTTTCACGTCAGTTTTCTGTGATGTCGTGGTATCACTCCGGTCGAGCCGGCCCATTCGTGCCGAAGCATGGCTCTCCCACACTTAAAACGCTTTTACGAGCTTTCGTGTAATTTGTACAAAATATTATTTTACATTCTCTTGTAAGTGAATTTTGTCGTATTGAGAATAAATTATTTAAAATAAAATAGATTGATACACAATACTGTGCTGATATGAAACCAATTCTTTTTATAATCTACATATTTGTTCTTAGTCTAGAAGTAATATAAGGTACAGGAGAAAATCCTGCTCAGGGACCAATTACTTAGATACATTACAATGAAAACATTAAATTAATATGAATTCCATACCTTTTCCACAACGCTCATTTTGTCACTGGAATATCCCTTATTATTCGCTCATTTTTTATTACAAACACGACCGAATTTCCTCCTTTTACATAGATATATGACAGTATTTGACCATGAGCCACGATTATCCATGGAGTAATATATTGAGTCGTAAACAGTATTATAAATATTATAGATAGGACTTATTGCCGTTTCGAATTATCTAATGATAGGATTAGGGAATCCTGCTGAAATTACATTAAATATTCAGTCGAGTATTCAAGGTATTTACGGGATTGGGCGGCAGACGAATTACCTAATGGTAAGTAGGTAAACGTCTCCGTTAATGGACATCTATAACACCGGAGGGGTTACAAGTGGGTTGCCAACCTTTTGGGGCGGCGGGTTTGGATAGGCCCACTCACATAACAAAACATAATGTAGGCGTACGTCGTTTCCGATTATAACAATTACCTAGTGGTATGTGGTGTTTATAATTATATATATTTATAGTGATAAAAGTATCCAATGAGTAGTCTTTCTTCTACTGAAAATAAAAAAGTCTGCATCTTATTATGTACAAAAAAATACTTTTGAACTGTTTTCATCTAAAAATATGATAGAATTGTACTACATGAAATGTTTTCAACAGCTGTATGAGCTGTCTGGGCATATATTATTTACAACGCCATCTATATTTTGTACGAGGAACTTCTAGCAAAGTTAGTGTTCCATCACTGCAGATGACGCTAATAGTATGTCCAGCTAGCATTTAATAATGTAGTTAACATTATTATACAACGCTTAGTTTCTATATTGTGTACATATACTTACCTATGTATTAGTAATACATTGCTCCTAAATATGTAATAGGTTATCTGCTAATCGCGAAGAAATTAATATTTTCAAACAGCCGGCGTGAAATAATAAATAAATCTAATTTATTATGGAAGATATCTAATAAAAAAAAACACACGTTGTATTTTTTAAAAGATTGATGACCGTTGATAAGGCGTAAGAAGTACCTGTGTAAAAATCGTAGCAATTGGTGTTCCATAGTAGAGACTAAGGCAGAGGCCTACCCCCGTGGATAGCCAGGCGTGAGAATATACACCTATGTATCTATGTTTTACAAGTATAATAGATGAGTAAAATAAAACAATTGAAAGTAAAGCTTGTAGCATTTTTTATTAAAGTTAATATTTACAAACACACGTAGGTTCCGTGCACTATTCTATATTAGCTTATGTGATGTCACGTAAAGGCACAAACTAAGTACGAATCTTATTATAACTCGGTATTTCTTACTTATCCTTGTTATAGAGTTTTGTAACAAACTTGATATATTAATGTTTATGACTACGACAAAATAGCTAAATGAAAAGGAAAAGGTGGCAGGCATAACTTCCTACAAAGTAAAGGGAGAGCCTAATTCTGAAAAATGAACTCAAGAAAACAACCCGAGATGTAAATTTTTAGGTCAGAGGTAAGCTGGTTAACAAGCTGACGGATCACCTGATGGTAAGCAACCAGCGTCGCCTATAGACACCTGGAACATCAGAGGCGTTACAAGTGCGTTGCCGGCCTTTTGCGGATTAATAGTTTAAGAATTGTTGGGAATTCAGGGATTGGGGAGATTGGGGAAGGGAGGAGGGTATTTTGTTTATACTTGATAGGTTGACGTTGGGCCACCAACTCGCCTGGTGGTAAACGATGTATGGCCTCCGGTAACCTCACTCACACGACGAAACACAACGCAAGCGTTGCTTCACGTCGGTTTTCTGTGAGTGGTTTTTATGAAATGTGTTATACCTATATATATATGTCAAGTTTGTTTCTCATCGCAGATAAGTAAAAAACACGGAATGATATGCGATCACAATAAATAAAGCGCTAGGTAACACCCTTGTTACAATATTTCGCTGTCCATCACAGCTTTAGTTCCTTTGTACAAAACCAACACAAATTACTCACATACAATAACAGCGATGGATGCGTAAGTCTAAAGTCTAAAAGCTGAATTATCGATCTTTAAAACTAGTTTTCTTTGTCAAAACACTAAAAATAAATGTCTCGAAGACATGGACCACATTTTTTGAGTCCCATGCGTGAAATGATTAAGAAAAAAGTACTTTATTACTTAAGAAATAAAGTGTATTATTGGATATAGGTAGTTACACCACAGAGACTATAGATAAGATTAAATAGAATATTTTAAAATAGCTATATGAGTTTAAAGTCAAAACTTACTTTTTATCATATGAGAGGCACATTATAGAGTGTAGAGTGTCGTAAAATATTAAAATTAAAAGACTATAGAGGTCTTAACTATAACTGATAAGTACCCAATTACAACACGAAAGTGTTCCCCAAATACTTATAAAAAGCTTTACACTACTAAACAGCTATGCTGCCTCGCATACAATGCAAATATTTAGTCAAATCTTTTGGAATGTATGTTTAAACTCGTAATAAAACCATAAGGCACCTTATCAATAAATAGGCTATAATACTAACGCTTCCGACTAGCATACGAACTGGGTCACTCCCCTGTCACTACAAATAAAGCAACAAGCAATCTAACATTCTGGACGCCAGTTATCATCTTTGTTTCACAACCTTATATTAAGTCCTTAAATATCTTAAATTATGTCTCGCTTCCTCTCCCAAGGAAGATACAGATAGTGCCCTTAATAAGTCTATAACTGACGTACAAAACGAAACTTGTTCGTGAAAGCAACGCAACTGTAGATACTGACATTACTTTGTATCAGATGTAGTCTACAGGGTCAAGGTAATGATCCAACTGAACACCAGTATGCTCACTACTGCCAGGGGATTATACGCCAGATTACCAGAATTCGGCTTAATCTTTGCAACGATCGAGTTAGTCGCATTCTTGATCTTATTCACGAACTTGTCCAAAATGTCGGATCTCGCCGTGATATCGCAAGCCGTATGACTAATCGCGTCAACAACTGGAGCCGAAAAGATTCTAAAGTTAACTTCATTAGCGTCTAGTTTGCCGTACATCCAAATCGGCATCTTGTTTGACAGAATCCACAAGTTGTCGTTGTAATCAACTTTAATGTCAGTCGGGTATACCATGGTCTCCTCGTTCATGTAGATCCTGCCTTGGTTTTTCATCAAATATTCCTTGTTGGAAGTCTTCCAGCATGCAACAGCATTCAAGTTTACCAAAGAATAGAACAAGACTCCAGTTTTCTGGTCAACAAAAGATACACTAGACTGAGCATTCGGCCCTCGACTTCCCAAAACATTGAAAGCGCTGAAGTTGTCATCAGCAAGAGTTTTGTTCCTCAGAAACTTGGTTGACACGGAGAATTCATCGTAGCTGGCCATGGGGTGGAAGTAAAGTGTGCTGTAGTTTTCAGCATTAGGAGCAGATAGACCAAGACCGAACAAAGCATCTGTCCAACTGAAGTTGAATCCTTTGACACTGAAGTCACACGCTAAGGGATCAGGGTGGAAGTAGTGATGGGAGATCCTCCAAGACTCGTTCTTCTCCCAGGAGTAAACAACAATGGCAGGTTTACCCAAATCTCCAGCGTAAGCGTAAGTATTCTCACAATCGATATCTTCAACAGCTATATTTGCGAAACCAGAATCTTCTTTGACCTGGTCTTCTGGGAATACGTATTTCCTCAATAGATTATCAGTTTTCAAGTCGTAAACAATGATCGAGGGTGGGTATTTCGTTGTGTTTTTCTCCAGGTTGCCCATTTTTCCATTGTCAAGGACCCAGAGACGTCCGCAGCGGTCAGCTCTCACGCGAAACGGGGAGATGATCTCTGGAGGTTTGCCGTCCTCGCCGATAGAGTGCGCTGCCCAACTTGGGTACGGGATCAACTTCGGTGATGTTGTTGAATTATCTGGAACGATACAGGATTGGGATAAGTGGTGTATTTTAACATAATATTAGAAACATTGCATTCTGAAGATGTCAGTATAAATTGTAAATGATATTTTTTTATTTGAGGAGTTTGTTTACTATTTGTAACCAATGACTTTAGTCATACAAACATTCGTCACCGAAATTAACCATAAATCAATAAAACTTAGGTTCCTTGACATCTTCCATTGATCAAAATAAGTAATTATTGTATAGTTATATGTAGGTAATTGGTCTACACATACACAGAAGACATAAATATGTAAGTCTTGTTAAATACAATGTTTTTTAAAGAAAGCAGTGTGTAACAACAACTTAATACACGTCAAATAGACAGAAGGTAAAACAGTTAATTACAAGTACAAAGCATTACTGGGTGTAAAAAAACATCTCAGTAGTAGCACGGGGTCTAGAACTGTGCCCGGTATATGGCAATAGGCTCACCCCCTATTACATGGGACTCATAACATAAATAGTGAAAAGTGGGTGTTACATTGTACAGTGGCATTAAGTTTCGCAATGTGCAACTCTGTCTACCTTTGGGGATGAAGGGCGTGTTGTTATGGTAATTATGATTAATACTGGAAAAAGGAAATAAGAACTCGAATAAATCAGGTTTTATAAGTAAGTCCTATCTTAGGTTTTATTTCGAAACAGAGGCCATTAAACTACTTTCATCGATAGAACTCAATTAACAGTCATTTTCCTTGTGTAATTACAACTAGATTTGAAGTAGGTAAATTGACGCATATTTCGATTCACACAATTTTAATATGATCGTTTCTAGTAATGGGGATGATGACAGGGTATGAAAATTAAAAATATAATTAGTCCGTAACTTAGGTAATAAAAAAATATTAGACACGTATTTTTTATTTTGTTGTATAATAAAACAATACTTAGATAAAACGAATCAAAGTTTAGGAGTGGGGGCTAAAACGTCATTTCTTAGTATAAAATGTACTGAGAAGTGACGTCACGCGACATTTCAAATCAATATATCTTCGGAACTATTCGTTTCCGTAAGAAAATAAAAAATACGTGTCTAATGTTTTTAAATAATCTACCAGACGGACATTAAAATAAAAATTAGTCGTCTACCCCATTGCTTAAGGATAACCATTAAGTTTCCTTCCAATTAAGTTCTTCCTTAAAAACAACCTGATAGTAGAATTATTCATGTATTTAAGACTATACATTCCTATTAAAAGACAAGAACATTAATCCCAATTACCCCTCCTCCTTCCAATCCCTGAATCCCAAACAATCCTCAAGCCCCAAAAGGCCGGTAATGCATAACGCCTCTTCGAGTGTCCATGGGCGGCGCCGATTGCTTACCATCAGTAAATCCATCTACTCTTTTAAAGGGATATCCCATAAAAACCTTAATAGTCTTAGAATGAAATTTAAATAAATTTCTAATAGATCACACTAAATAAAAATATAATCTTCGACGTAAGAAAAAATCCAAAAACATATTTATTTGCCCTACCACTTTCCTTGAACATGGACAATAACTAATAGAACAAACAAAAAGTCCAACTTAGCGTGACAACGAAGGCATGCATTACTAACCAAATAATATAGTAACTATTGTTAAAGTATATCAACTGTGAAGTAAATAATTTATTCTTATCTTGTTCCGTGCAAACTTAATTTGCAAGCGTAAATGTGTTAGATTTGCAAATTAGAGATCATTATATTGTATACAGGGTGTATCTAATAGTGATGGAGTATCTAGAAATAGACGGTATTGTCTATCTTCTGTGTGATCTTTACGAGTCGGAACCTACATTGACTTTGTCTTGTAAATGGTCACATGTTAAAGGCCCTTGATTATTGCTCATGATTAATTCTGTTATAACTTCATTAAATAGAGAATGAGGGATTTAGTCAGATACTTTAAGTATGGGAGAGCCATGCTTCGGCACAAATGGGCCCGCTCGACCGGAGTGATACCGCGGCCTCACAGAAAACAACGCTTGCGCTGTATTTCGTCGTGTGAATAAGGGTTCGGTGATCCCGCTCCCCAGTCTCCCCAATCCCCGAATCCTCCACAATCCTCAAATTCCCAATTCCCAAAAAGCCGGTAACGCACTTGTAACGCCTCGGTGTTTCAAGTGTTCATGGGCGGTCCATCAAGTGATCGTTTACCGGCTAATCCAATAAAAAATACTAAATTAAACTTAGAATCTGACTAAGATTCAAATTCCTTATTTCTTACGTCTTTGAACTAAAAGTATTAGGAACGTAACAAAGGTTAAAACTGAAGCCATAAACGTAGGGACTATAATTAACAGAAATTAGTAGAGAACAAAGCAATATAGTAAACACTCATGTTATAAGGAGAAGCGGTGAAAGCCAAACAATTAATTCCAAGTAAGTAATAGCTCATAAAACTGCATCCACTGTCTTCGCCGGGGCCCGCGCGCTCGTGTCGACACTACGACTAATTGTATAATGTGACGAGGATTGCATCTTACCTTCTTGGCATTTTAAAACAATAAACATTAAATGTTATTCATGCTATAATTTCCGTGGTTTATAAATTCCTCTTTCAATCATTATTTGTTTTATACATAGTTACAATTTATCTAGATGTATTGAGAAATTTTCTTTTGTTATGTGAATTGTGACATTTTTAGTATGTGGAAGTGTGGGAGAGCCATGCTTCGGCACGAATGGGCCGGCTCGACCGGAGTGATATCTCGGCCTCACAGAAAACCGACGTGAAGCAACGCTTGCGTTGTGTTTCGTCGTGTGAGTGAGGTTACCGGAGGCCCAGCTCCCTCCCCCCTTCCCCAATCTCCCCAATCCCCGAATCCCCAACAATCCTCAAACTCCTAATCCTTAAAAGGCCGGTAACGCACTTGTAACGCTTCTGGTGTTGGGGGCGACGCCAATTGCTTACCATCAGGTAATCCGCCTACTAGTTTACGGCATATGCCATAAAAAAATTAACAGGGAGAATTGATGTAACCATTACATTATTACTAAAAGTACTTAAATCAATATTCACCTTTCAAATTGATGTAATTCAAACTGGCAGGTACTCCGGACTTCCATCGAGGAACAGTGATGAACAGTCTGTCCTCATAGATTTCCAGTCCCATGGGAATATTATTCTCTGGGATGAAGTTCTTCGTCTCCAGAGCCTGCTGCCTGGCCTCAGGAGTGGGGAACTCGTAGTCAATCTGCTTCCATTCATACACTATGTGGAGCTGGTCCATACATCCGCAGAAGTACACCAGGTGTAGAAGTATGAGGGCTTTCAAACCCCTCATTTTGAAGAGCTGGAATTAAGAGAAAGATCACGTTAATACAAAAAGAATACAGAAAATGCCAAAACAAAGAAGGCTCTTATGGTCTGAATACATAATGTATGTGTTTTCGAACACTTCGCATTGAAGCTTAAATAAGATGTCTTCTAAGTAAGCTATCTCTATTCATTGACACTTCATCTATCCCTTTGGACGTAAACTCTCAAAAGAAGATGACTAATAGAGATTAATATCCAATTGACACACAACAAAAATCTGATGAAGTAAAAAGAGCAGTACACTTTCCCGAGTATTCTTTAAAACAAGTTTATCACACCTGCTTAATAGCAACAAGTAAGTTCAACAAGTACCGAAAATAACTTGCACTACTGCCTTACATAAATCAATTAACCTCAAGACCAAGACGTACTTCCTACATACAAGGTCAACAGAAATTGCTGTGACCTCGTTCAAGGTCACACTCCTTTCAATACGGCCATTCTTTGCCACGCCAGCTCACGCACTGTATTGGAGCAATTAATATTCAAGATCAAGTTCTTAGGATTGGGGTTTTAGGATTCAATGAGGTATTGTTTAACTGGTGGATCTGTCTATGACTTTACATAAGGCATCTTATTGATTATTTATCTATTTTTAGTCATGTTCGTTTCGCTGCAAGGCAAAGCTCTCCTTACCCTTCTTCCACTCTTCTCTTCTTATAGCTTTATCTGGCCAATTGTTTTCGTAAGCGTCAAGTTCAAGCCATCTTTGAACGCAAAAATAAAAGTTGTGGTTGAAACTTCGGTACCGTTTTAAAGTTGAGATTTGCACCATAATTTCAATGTAATAATATTATTGTAGCTTAAACTACATCATCTTTCTGCTCTTGTTAAAACAAATGGCCACTTTCAGCTTCCTTATCACTAAACATATCAACCACATCAGTTTTTTCAACTAAAACATTTAATCTTTTAACACTAAGTTTTTGTTCTATAGAAATAACTCAAATTCCTTACGAGTATCCATTGTGCATTGTCTTGACAGGTCCTGACTAATTTAATCAATTGTATACTTTATGTACTACACATAGGTACTATTTTTTGCCTATATTCTACACGTTTACTGCTTCAAAATTGATAATTCATTATTAGTAACTACGGAAGTTCCTACACGACAAAAAGATATAAGGAAACCGAATTCCAATTCTATGTTAAGTTACACGGATATGAATGATTCATATTTTTTTGATCGAATTTCTACGGGGTTTTTCAGTGTTACGTATGTATATACTTTTGGACTTTCGTAGTATTTTGTAATTGGCTCTTAGTTTTACCCGAGTTTGAAATCATTACGGGTTTCTCTTAGTAGATAGAGTATAGTTTGTATAAGTATTGAATTAACAATTTAATATTTTATCTTTTGTTCAAAATGTGATGTAATGAAAAGCAAACTACATATGTTTTACACCTACAAATGTCTTTACTTAGTTTGTCCTATCTACTGATCTTCTGCACAAAACAAATCAAATGATAAACGTTAATAAAACAAAATATGATTGAATCAAACAACTGACACAATACCAAAGTATCCAATACATTAGAATTCACAGTAAACTACCTGCATAATAACTACTATTGTTGAATAAGACGACGATTCTGACATTTAAAACAATTACTATAAAGTTGATAATTGTATGTTGCATAATTGTGTCGCCATTCGATTGGTTTCTTCGTTATCGTACAATAATAATTATAAGAAGTGCTACGAACAAGTTTTTAATTGAATCGATGCGAGTTCCTTATTAATATTGTTGAAAAAATTCAATTTGTTTATTGTTATATTGTGAGAATAAAACTACATGAACTCAATGCTAACACGCCTGGGCCATTGTACTTGGGAATTTAAAAAAAAGTTTGGGTGACCAGGGGTTTTAACTTAGGACATGTACCTATCCTGTACCTACAATCACTCTTGTATGTATGTGTAGGAATTAAAAGCGAAGTAACTTCTACAATCCAATTTTTTAGGTTGTCTTGTTTATTCACATAACTGGGTAACGCGGTTACTTGATCTGTTTCAGGCTATACCGAGACCCATAATCATGAGAATTGATACGTTAGATTCTGATCTTCTGCGATTTTTTTCTTCTCCTCTAATAATATGGTATGTATGGTTGTTATTTCGTATCACTGGATTCTACCATACTTTTTGTTTTAAGGGGGGAAAATCATCGAATGTCTTCTCCCGCTTGGGTGAGCCGGGAGGGAGTGTCAGACTCTTACTGACTAAAAACGGGGTGGTTTCTACTTCTGCAATTCGAGCCGGAGCCCCGGTAACCCGTTAGGTTAGGTTAGGTTATCGTCGTAGGAGATCGTCCCGCGATCCCCGACGCCCGGAGTGTCCTTCGCGACAGCTGGGTTGTGAGGAGGCAGCACTTCGCTGACTCATGCGACCCATCTATTCCTTAGCTAGCATCGATTCTACCACACTGACTTACTAGTGATATTCAATTATAAAGTTATTTTCTCTTTTATTGTTACTGTTATTTTCTCTGACGGACTGACTGACAGACTATTATTTATTTTGTACTAGCGACCCGCCCCGGCTTCGCGCGGGTGCAATATGCATGTATTATACATACAAACCTTCCTTAAGAATCACTCTATCTATTAAAAAAAACCGCATCAAAATCCGTTTCGTAGTTTTAAAGATCTAAGCATACATACGGACATACAGCGAAAGCGACTTTGTTTTATACTATGTATTGATTTGTTGACGTTTCAAAAGTACCAAACTATGGTTTAATTGAAATAAATGCTTTGACTTTGACTTTGACTTTGTCTTGATCGACAACACATGGCACTCAATTTTCAATCATTTCGATTCATATCGTATAATACTGGTGACTGATAGCCTCTTGTGACTTAGCACATAATTTTACCTTCTATTTAGAAATCACGTGAAATTATTTGTTCTTTGTAAATAGAAAGAGCTTCACAGCTTAAGTGGTCAGTTAAAAAGTTGCGAACAACTTACGAAGATGATGGTGCTAGGTGAAACTTAGCGATAGAATAGTTGTTACAATGTTAACGATTTGCGATAAGTAAGCGTTGAAATTTTCTGAGGTCTAAAACAAAATAGCACTACTATTTTTTTTTCTTGTCCCCAAGGCATAAACAGAGCTGCATAGTGTATATTATCGACAAGACCACCTAAAAGATCCTGCCCTGGTAATTATGGGACCCTCTAAGAATTATAACTATTCAAACAAAACAAGTATTTTGAAAATCCATTCACAAATGGCGGAGTAATCAGTGAACAAACAAAAAAAACAATCATCCGAACATAATACCTCCTCCTCTTTTGAAGTCAATAGCTCTCTATTCATAATTTTAATTGAAGAAGCTTAGATAAGAAGAACAATGTTCGTTTCTACAGCTGCAATTGTAATACGTGTAATGTATAATAATCAAATTTATTCATGATTAACCGGCAATTAATCATTAATCTTAATATCATTTGATGATTTTGAAATCATACCGATTAATTATTTATTTTTAACAGACCAACTTTGGTTCGTATTTTCCTCCATGCAAGTACCTACTCATCGCATGTCAACAAATGCATAGATGACGCGTTTATTGCAACACTTGATAGAGGTCGCTGCTTGTTAAGTCACCACTTGCATGCCTTTGTCTTATTTACGAGACAATTATCGTAATTACAATCGTAAACAATTATATGACTATTTATATACATTAAAATATAAACTATGTATTGTGCACTTGTATACTTAGTTTTGTCTTATCTATACTATAATATTATAAAGCTGAAGAGTTTGTTTTTTTTGTTTGTTTGTTTGTTTGAACGCGCTAATCTCCGAAACCACTGGTGCGATTTGAAAAATTCTTTCTGTGTTGGATAGCTCATTTATCGAGGAAGGCTATAGGCTAATAAAATATCACGCTACGATTAATAGGCGCCGAGCAGAGCGAGTGAAACCGCGCGGAAGTAGCTAGTCATATGATAAGAGTGAGTTCCTTGATCCTTCGTAAGCACAAACAAGTCTTGAAAAATTCGTAATAGTATCTAAAATCGATTCAACTGATTCGTTCTCAAATGATGACGGCAAGTCCCCAAGTCTTCTTAAAAGATATTCTAAGCCTTAAGTCAAAATTGTTCTTTAACGCTCCTTAACTACTTTATCCTTAAAATTATGTGCTGTACGCTCCTAACCCACATATGTAAAGTCCAGGAGAAAGAAAGAATTTCTCTAGAAAAGAGAAAATATTTATAATAACTCTACACCAGTAACTACATAGCCATGACCTAAACCACCCAAAACAACAGCATCTCTATACAGCCTATAAGCCTGCTTACCCCATTTCAAATAATCTTGACCGCTATTCAACATTGAAACGTAAATGCAGTTCATCGCGTGGCTGTAGGAAATTATGTGAAAGACAATGGCGCAGACGCACGATAGTCTAGGAGCCAGCGCCGACGTCCCGTTACTTAACAATATCATTAATCGTTATTTTTATCTGAGTGACGTATCGTGAGAAAACTGTATAGTTTCTTCCTACTTGTGAATTAATTGTACTGGTAGTTTGTACTTTCTTTCTTTGTATTGTTGTATCTTAAGTTATTTTATTGATATTTTAAATATAACTAGATGTAATGTCACATGTTTTTTTTAATACTTTTAGCTTGTAATAAAAACTTTATAGATCAATTATCAGTTGCAATATTATTAGAATTGTCTAGACTTATAAATACAAATAATAATGAATGTGTATTGATGAGTCACGTTTTCCATATTATCGTTTCAAACTACCAAATACAGATCTATACTAATATTATAAAGCTGAAGAAATTGTTTTTTTATTTATTTGTTTGAACGCGCTAATCTCCGAAACTACTGGTGCGACTAGAAAAATTCTTTCTGTGTTGGATAGCCCATTTATCAACAAAGGTTATAGGCTATAAAATATCACGCTACGATTAATAGGCGCCGAGCAGAGCGAGTGAAA